AACATTTAATACTTTAACACATTATATGAAAATAGAAAATACAAAAATAATAATAAAAGAGAGACTCCTATATAAATAATTTATCCTCATCTTATATAAATCATTTGTCCTTCAGCAGCTTTACCTATCGCTATATCATTTATATCTCATCCAGCCTTCAATCCACTCTAGTCATAATACAAAAAATTCTATACAATCAGCAGACAGACGCGTAAATGGATGAAATGTCCACAGGGACATGCTCACAGACAGACAGACAATGGGCTCAACATTATTGCATAAATTTGGCCACTTTGTGCCGGTTCTTTAGCATTTGCTCTATCTCTCTATCTCTCTCTGCGCTCGTTCGTTTTGTGCAGCTTAGCAAATTCTTTGGCGTTTGAAAAATGTCGAAACATTTGTCCATTTGCGCGATATGGATAGGAAGGAGAAAACCAGAGAGCCAACAGAAAAAATATAAATAACAAAAAACAAAAATGCGAAGAAGGAAAACTGAAAACTTTGGGAAAAGCTGACCCTTTTCCGACATGCTCGCCGCTGGCCTTTGGGATTAGTGTTTGATGCGGGGCTTGTGGGGCAAAGCCGAAGAAAAATTGAAACAAGTTACCCAAACCATTTTCGTGCCGCTTACCGCTTGCCAATTTATTCAAATGCCTTGCAAAGTGCTAAATAAACAAGACTGAAAAATGTCTAGGCAACACACGGGGGCAGCGGGACATTCAAAACACCCCGAGCATGTGCGTCATTTTTCTTGGTTTTAGGCGCACCAAAAGAAACAAAAAATAATAAAAAGAATGATAGCATGTAGAGCAGACTCGGTCGAACCTGTGGGCCTCGGCCTCTCGTTCGCACTCACACTCGCACTTACCTTGGATGGGCACATAAATATTTAGATAAAGACAATCCTCTGATTGATTTTGCAGATAGGGCAGCAAGCGCTTTAGATACTCCAAGCGACCCTTGGGCATGCGCTCCATCGCCGCGGTCTCGTTGTGTATGTCCGGCAGCCGCTGCGGACAGACGGGACTGAATCTGCAAGGCATCGAAAATTGGATAAGAAATTTGTGGCTAAAAGGCAAAAGTTTTTTAAACCCATTGAAAATGATGTTAGGCCATCATTATATCTCTATAGATGACCGTTTAACGGGCAGAGGGGAGTCTTGGAGTTAATAACAACTTGAGTTGAGTAGATCTCTGGATCACTTATATTTATTTATTTATAAATATATTCCTTCATTTGCTCGTTATCAGTAAGACTAAACGACTTTTTAATTGAAGACATTACATTTGGGTACGCAGTATCTCTTAGTCGAGCACTCTTTTAGTTGCTGGTGACAATTTTTCTTATCCCTTGTTAAAAAGGCTTCGACCGGCTATTTTTTATGCGTGGCCTTATAAACAGATTAATTTAGCTAGCATTGTGCGCAATCTCAGCCTTCGCGTCACAAATTTCTGTCCTTGGGTCATAATAACTTTTTGATTTGAGCTGACAAAGTTTTTGGTGCTTTAATTTATTTGGGCAAAAGCTTATTTCGGGCCGTCTGTGAAATTGGTTTTCGATTTTACAGCCAGCCAACTTTGTCATGCTCTCTCTCTCCCCCTCTCTCTCTCTGTCTCTCTCTTATCCTCTTACTCTATTCTCGTCGATTCCATCAGCAACATTTGCTGCATTTCTCTGCTGTTTTTGGCCATGTCATGCAAATGGCATTCTGGCCTTGTGCTCATTTATGACTGGCTTATTGGCCATGCTGCCGCACAGCGACCCAGCCCCTTGCTTGCTGTCAGTTGCCGCCTTGAACCCACTTCAAATTTCTAGTATTATTTGTTTTTAATCTGCCGTGTGACAGACATCAAACCATGCTGGCCCCAAGCACTCAAAAACGAACCGAAACTAGTTGTTTGCACTCAATACGCAAACAAATTGCACATTCCAAAGTGTTTAGCCCGAAATGTGGCCGAGTAGTGGGTATTTGCTGCAAATATCAAATAGTCGTATTGCGAGGCCATCCGCACTGTGATCGGCCCAAAAGCAATTTGCTAATATTTGAAATTCGTTTGCCATTGGTAAAATTACTTTGAAAATGCAGCTGAATTTCCACAATTGCGATTAGCTGGGTAAAATATTAAATTTGAAATAAATTAATTGAGTTGAGATGTCTTATAGAAAATCAATTATAGATCAAATAAACTGAAAATGAATTTAATATAGTTTTAAAAAATATTTTGCATCAAACAGCTTGCAATTTAATTAATGAAAAAGTCCTCGAGCAAAATATTTCGTATTAATCATATAGATGTATATTCCCCTATATCTCCACATTCCTCGTTGGTCTTGGACTGTTCTGAGCTACGGTTCATCAAGTGGCGCATCTTTGGCGCCACATCAAATTGTCATAAAGCAAAAATCAATGCTGGCATTAAAAATTTCCCTTTCGGCCAACTTATCTGTGTGAGCTGGGGGGATCCATTATGGCCAACCCGAACCCATGAAAAGGCATTAACATTAATAGCATTGCGGAATGAGAATTTATATAATTTCATTTTTATTTATTTTTTGTTCTCTTTTGTTGTTGTTTTGGTGCAGAAATATATTTAATTTTTGTTCTTCTCATTGTGCTTTTATTATATTTGGCGAAATGGCCACGAAGTGAGTCCGTGGCCCCTTGACCCCAACAAGCTTTTAATGGTCGCTTGTGGCGGCCGCGCGATTGCCATAATAATCATTAATTTAATGGTTAAACAATAAGGCAGGTAATAAAAGTTTAATTTTTGACTTCATTTCGCGCGCTGTCCGCTAAATGGCCAACCGAGCAGCTGCGGTGCGACAACAACCCTGCGTCCAGATAAAAGACAGAATAACAAAAA